ATTCATCCTTGTATCTATAATAAAAATCTTCGTTAAGTAAACAATTATATATTCATGCTAAAATTAGGGTTATATTGTTGAAGCAACCACTTCAAGTCTAGCTACTACAAAAATGGGAACCCTGACTGTGTAGTGGGTTACCTGTTGGACTACCAGCCTCAAGGTCAGCAGTTCAAATCAACCAACAGGAGAAAGATGAGAATTTCTACTCTGGTAAAGATTTACACCTCAGAAACCCCTAGGGGACATTCTTCCCTGTCCTATAGGGTCCCTATGAGTTACAACCATCTAAATGGTAATGACCTTTGATTTTTGAGTTTGAGTACTGTATTCTAAGACTGGAAATGTCTTGTTTTTTCTTTTTCTTTTTAATTAAAAGATCATTTTATTTGAGGCTCTTACAGCTCTTATAACAATCCATACATCAAGTGTATCAAGCATCAGTGTCCAAATGTTGCCATCATTATTTTCTAAACATTTACTTTCTATTTGTTTAGCCTTGTTTAGGTGGAGCATCTCCATCAGTAGGGTCCCATCTTGTGTCAAAGAACTCCTGGTCTCTTATGTCCATTCTAGATGTTGAAGCACTGGAATTGGCCCAAGCTAGGACAGATGTCCTCCTCCCTAAATCTAATCACATAGAGACAGAGTGGTTAGTGTTATATAGGGTTAGGTATGTAACGTGCAGAGAATAGCTGTGAACTGGCCGGGCACTTACAGAAGTGGTCACCACATGGGGCAAAACTTAACAGTTGGGTCTTGTTTTCATAGTTCTGCTTTCATGTCTTTTTCTGCCTTTTGAAGGTCACTTTCATTCAACAAACACCATACACCTACTCTGTCAGCTACTCTACTGCATGCTGGGGTTACGAAGAAAACCAAGGTCCCATCCCTCTGCTGAAAGAGGGAAAAAGAACAGAGCAAATTATTGTCATAGAACCTCTGTGAGTTCCACAGTTACTGTCCCTGATCATATTCTGTTTGGGACACCAGGACATGAGAATTTTACAGTCCATTAGCTCCAAAGGGAACATTTCATTCAAGTTCCTGTTTGTTTATCCTGTACGTGAGGATACAGGAAATGAACATTGTCTTCTCTCCATTGAGAGTTCACTGTATATATCCAATGTGGTGATTTTAAAAATAATAATATGAGGTTTAAAGTCTGTGAAAGTCATAATGATTGGGGGGAGGATGGATTCATTAAGTTGTGAAGGGCTACCTTGGCCTATTACGTGCAGTGATACTTTGAATACTGGTACCCTTTAGAAGGGATGTGGAAACCATTTGCGTAATGACCACCAAATATACTCTGCTCAGAGGAATCCAGATTTACCATGTTGGCTTTTGCCTCTAAGCTAGAGCTGAAGCCTATTGGGTTATTTGATGGGGGAAACCAAAAAGGAAAGGGAATTATCGGCAAAATACTATTACTTAGCCAGTAGTGGATTACGGTTCTTTTCCTATATTTGAGCAAATCACTGAGGAGTGGATTATATTCCCTGAAAAATAGTATGTATCTTAGCATAATAGTGCATCCTCAAGAAATCTGTGGTGCTGCCCAAAACAGGTCTGTTCTTCATGCTCTGTGCCTCTTTATGGTTTGGGTTTTTCTCCATATTACTTTGGTTTGACTTGTGCACTAGATAATCCAAGAATCTGAGAGGGCTGGAGCAAGAAATGGTTCTTAGATTCCACCTCTGAGAAAATATGTCTACCTGCCTTTCTATTGAAGGAGACCTGCTGTTGTCTAGTAAGCTTGATTACAGGGTCAGCAGGTCACACCCACCATCTGCTCTGTGGGAAAAGCAAGAGGCTGTCTGCTCCCATAAGTGTTCAGTCTCAGAAACCTGATAGAGCATCACTATGAGTGTGAATTAACAAGATGGCGATGGGTTACTCATAATTTATACTGTCTTTTCACTAGGAATTTATACCAGTTTGAAATTCATATAGTTCAGTTTACTCATTTAAGGAAACAGGAAGCTAAGGTTCTGAGAGAGGGTTTCCCCACCCCTAAAGTCACACCACTTACTCATTAGTGTGCCCAGGCTGCACCTGGAACTCCTGCCTCCTTGTATCTTTATGAAATAAATGATGATTGCACTTTCATTCATTCCATTTGTTTTCCTCCTAAAGTAGTATGTAAGTGAAAGCCATGTGTTGGGCATGATGTTCGGCTAGAAATGTCCTAGGGAATAAGGAGAGCCTGAGTCCTGTCCTTCGAAGTCCTGCTCCGTATAAGTCTAGAGTTACAGATAGACTTGAAGTCAACATTCATATGAATCAAATAGGTGAATGATCAGAGGAAATGGGCGTCTAAAAGCTGTTATTGTATAGGGTTCAATGAGCATGTAACAGAGGTCCCAAAAGGCTTGTTCAAAAACACACATTTATGGTGAGCTTTGAATGAGAAATTCGGGAGATAGATGAGGCTTTATATTCCCATAAAGAATTATAGTCTTGGAAACTCACAGGGGCAGTTCTACTGGGTCACTTTGAGTGGGCATTGACTCGCTAGCATTGAGTGTTGTCTCTATTATGAAGGAGAAATGAAAGTACATCAGGGTTTGTGTGACAAACATGCAGAACCAAAGAGAATGGAGTGAGAGGATGCCCTGCGGTCGCAGCTCAGCTGAGAAATGGAAAGGAACCAGTGTAGTGTGGCTGGGCTGGAACTTAATGAGCCAGGGAGAAGACCCAGAGAAGGGCTGAGGCCAGATTGCCTTAGGCCTTCCAATCTAAGTGAGGAAACAAAGATTGCCCAGGAGGATGTGGTGCAGGGAGTACAATATAATCAGAGCTGTGTGACAAGCACATAGCTGGTAGACAAAGACTGGACTGGATAAAGGAGGATAAAGTGAAAGTTGGGGAGCCAAAGAGGAATCTTTCAAATTCATTCCACTGAAAAGTAATTGTGCTGGGCTATAAGAGATTGGGAGATCGTGAGAAGCTTCAGCTACAATTTGAAGGTGGAATCAACAAGACTTGTCAATGCATTGAGGGTGAGTTTTGACATTTGCTCAGGTAGGGAGGATTAACTATGAAGCTATCTAGGGATTATGTGGGTGAAAGCATTCTATTTTATTTGGGGTGCTTATAAGACATCTAGTGGAGATGTGAAGCAGAAGTTGGATATGCGGTTTAAGTTCAGAAAAAAGATCTAGGCTGATTATGTAAATTTGGAAGACCTTAATCTCATCTTTGAACTCAAGGGAGTAATTAACTAGTTGGGATTATTAAACGCATGCTGCAGTAAAGTGTGTGGGTTCGAAATTGGATAAATAAAGACATTTCAGATAAAGGCAACGAGGAAATTAAAGGGTGAGCACTCACATGGACACCCCACTGCCACTGAATTGATTGACTACGAGTGACCCCCACATAGGTTTTCTACAAGTGTGAATATTTAAAACAGACTCATCTTTTTATCTTCAAAACATAGTTGAATCTTCTCACGTTTTCCCAATCTGTTCAAGTGCCAGGCACCGTTTCTTTTCAGTGGAATGAATTTAAGAGCCTCTGTTTGACCTCCCACCTTTCACTTTATCCTGCTTTACCCAATCTACTCTTTGCCTACCAGCTATGTTCTTGCCATACGGCTCTGGTTTCATTTCCACTCCCTGCGTCACCTCCGTCTGGGGATCTTTGTGTCCTCACCTCCACAGTCAGGCCTGGAGCAGTCTGGCCTCAGCCCCTCTCTCAGACAGCCTTCCCCACTGCTCACTAAGCTCCAACCCAGCCACACTACACCGGCTTTCTTTCCATTTCTCAGCTAAGCCACGCACCCCTACCTCAGGGCCTCCTCGGCCCATTCACTTCGGTTCTGCATGCTTGTCCCCCAGCCCCTTGCCTGATATACTGCTGTTTCTCCTTCATTGCTCACCGTAACTGTCCTGTCCTCAAACAGGCCCTTAAAGACCTCTTTACAGTTGGCCCTGCTGCTGTTTTGGTTAACAGCCAGCCCTCTGACTAATCCACAGTGCCACCAGGGCTCCTTACATCCCAAAGCAGACCTGAAACTGGCCAGTGAGCTCACTGTCCACTTGATGCGAAACAAGAAGTAAAAGGGGGCTGGATATTGAGTGTCCCTTAAAATAAAGTCAAGCAGTGGCCATTCTGAGTACAGTGGTCATAGTGGGAAGCAGATCTGTAAAAAGTATGAGATCTTTGTAGACCAAGAAGAAGCATTTTTTGTCAGCTCTCCTGGTTTATACTGTGATACATAACGTCAAAGTTTTCATATAAATTTGAAATACTTATATTGGTCATGGGTCATGAATGAAGAGCCAACGCAGTTATTTTCTCCCACTGAATGGCTGCCTACAGTTTGCCAGTGACTGTGCTGGAAATAAGCCCCCAAAGTCAGGCCTGGTGTTCTAGGAGCTGTTGTGTGCCTGTCTCCGTGGAAATCAAGTTCCACCCCCACGTACTCTGCTCCATTGAGAATGCAGAGGAGTAGAATGAACCTAGCCCACGAAGCCTTGCCTGCTGAGTCTCTGCTCTCCATCCATCACTCCTCCTCACAGCGTCCACCCGTACAGAGCCCTTTGTACACACCCGTCACCCTTTATTAGGCAGAACGAAGTGAGAAGCCAAGGGAGAAGGCGGAGAGCCTTTCCAGTTCAAAGCACAAGCTGTTCTAGACATTAATGGGCCCAGAGGTTACACATGCGCCTTTGGGAAATGCATACTCCGCAGTGCTGAAAGAGTTGACGTCTTTCCAAAACCATCCTCTGTTGCACCTGACATACTAAGGGGGTTTGGGCTAACGCTTAGCATCATCATTCTTTGTCACGAATAATTGTATCTTGCTATTCTTGGGAATTTAATTTCTGTTCCTACTGGCTTTCTATGCCTGGGACCAATATGCATCTATTTTTATATTCTGTAGTGGCTGTGTATGCATTCGCAACTGAGAATCAAGGAGTTGATTATAATTTGAACCAGAAACTTAGCATGTAATGTGTACTGAGTCTGCCTGTTTTCACATTCCACAGAAATGAGGATGCAGTCAGTCAGATGGCCGTTGCTCCCTTCCCGCTGCCATCACGTTCCCCAACGCCTACTGAGGTAAGCTAGTTGCTGTCACCTTGATTCTGCGTGTAGCCCGTGGGTGCACAGGAGAACTGTAGCCTTTGGGAAGCAGGTCTCTCGGCCCATCTTCAGTGGCACCTCTGGGTAGATCCAGACCACTACTCTCGGCTTGTAGTCCTGCACTTAACCATTTGTGTCACCTAGGAAATTTGACTTAATAGGCGAATTGGTCGTGGGCATTTTCCCTAAAGCTAACTATTTTTTATTTTCAGTATTTGTTCTTCCCTAACTCAGAATATATTGGCTAGGGAATTTTATTGACCCAAGCAGAAGATATTTGCGGCAAGATTAAAAAGTGATGGTAATACTTTTTAAGCAAATATTGGAATGTAATCATCTATGTATTGTTGGATGCTGGCCAGTCAGTTCTGACTCCAGTGACCCCCGGGGCCAGAGGAGACCAGCCTGGCATGGTTCCCTCGGCTGTGATCCTGAAGGAAACTCACCGACAGGACTTTCTCCCATAGAGCGGTTTGGTGAGCTTGAAGCAACCAAATGCTTAACTCTGTGGTAGTAAGGCTCCTTCTTCAAGTGCTCGTCCTCTCTTTACCTGCACATTTCTTTTAGATATATAACTTTGTCCTAGTTACGTATTTCAGAATTTAATAAAAAATTTTCTTTCTTATTTAATTGTGTGCTTGTATGGTTTCCAGATACTTTGTATTTATATATTTACTTTTTTTCTATTAATGGAAAAATGATGAACAATACAAGGTTACTATTATATGCATATGCATCTGCTTCTAGAATTACTATATATAATCAGTGTGTCTACCCTGATGAGGGAATATTGAGTACATTCTCAACACATTTCTTATACACTGGATTATATTTAATTCCTAACGAAATAAATACATATAGTAACTAATCAAATAATATAGTTCTTTGAACAAATATTTGTAATTTTCCTTTTCCTACCTTCTTGAGACAGTTAATGTGAACTCTTTAGCATCTCACCAACTTTGTCCTTTGCTTCTAAGACAAAGATAAGTAGGTACCGTATATACTCGAGTATAAGCTGGCCCGAATATCATCCGAAGTACCTAATTTTACCACAAAAACTGCATTAAAAATGTGCTGAAAAAACTCAGCTTACACACGAGTATATATGGTAAATATAAATGATATGTTTTTTCAGGGGGAAAAAATCAGTCACAATATACATTATTTTTATTCAAAAAATATTCAGTGAGTGCATGCTCTGTGTCAGGCACTATTTTGTAAAGTACAGCTGTAGTTCAGAATAAATTCCTTGCAGTGGTCCAGCAGAGATTATACTGACGAGAAAGAGAATAAATTAACAAATAAACAAACTGAGAGAATTGTCAATAAATGGTTAATGCCTTGCAGAGAATCGAAATGTGACTACTTTGATTAATATTAGGGAAGGCCTCTTAGATGAAGGGAAATTTAAATAAGTTCTAAATGATAAGAAGGATGGATGGATTCAATAAGCCTTGCTATGCCCTACCTACATTCAGACTATAGACAGCAATACTATTTTTTTCACTTTATAAAAGAAAATGTGGGGCCCAGAGAGATAAATAATATATCAATAATAGGTATGCTATTTGGCATCTCCTATGTAGACTGTAACCCGGGGATTTTACACTAAATATTTATAGAATTGTCATAAAAAATAAAGGAAATAGTAATACTGTATATGAGACACTGAGTAGTCATGTATGTAAAATTTAAATAAGGCCAGTATTGTGTTCAAGACCTTATAGTATTTATATCAAATTGGAAGGTTCCATTATTTGTATTTCCTTTTATTTATTAATATTTTGTATTACCCAAAGATAGTTAAAACACATATAAATTTATAAATGAAAAATAGACTCTTTCCTCTCAAAGAGTGTGATTCGGTCGCATCATCACAATATGAATTTCACTGCCAGTAAGGTTTTTAGTTGCTTCTCTAGGCTGTTGACCTCTCGGAATGGTCATGTGATGAGCAGCGGCCCTCCTGGGAGTGACTTGTGAAGTGTGTAGATCTGCCTTGGCTCCTTGACCCTTTCCTCCTCCTTCCCTATTTGCCTTTGTAGGTTTTCTGGATAAGCCAATCTGCTCCATGACTATCTCCTAGAGAATGATTCAGCATATTGCTAGCCTATTAAAATCACATTCGAATAGATGAGGTATAGCCATGTCATTATAAAATTATAGTGACCAAAATGTAGCATAATTTAATAGTACCTTTATTATATGATAGTATTTCCTACCTATTTATTTATTCAACAGATATTTATTGAACACTTACTGTGGGCCAGGCACTGTTCTGGACACAGAAGAAAGAGCTTCGTGAGTTGTACAATAATAGGGTGAATGAACTGCTAGTCAACCATTGAACAGGATGTTGAAGGTGTGGACTTTCATCATGGTTCAACCCGTTTGGCATGAGAGCTTGGTAAAGACAGCCTCTCACAGTCTCCCTTTTTTATTAAGCCAAGCTAATAACTGGCCTTCCTTGCCTTTGTCAACAGCTAGTTATGAGGCTTAAATATAAAATATAAGTAAATATACCTGGAAGTCTGTGAAGCTATGTACATTTGTAAGAGATTGAGATTAGACCGTAAGATCTTTGGTAATTACAATGTGTTGGGATAGGTGCATGGCACAGTGATCAAGAAAGTAAACCTGGAAGTCAGGCACCTGATTCCTGATAGCTACTCTGCCTTTAGCAAAGGGGAGTTGATTAAGCTATAAAAGCTTTTGTTTTCTTCATTTAAAAAATGGGCTTGAGAACAGCAATTCATTAAGTTAATGTGTAAAAAGTACTAACTTATATTTATAAAATATTCAGCCTGATTCCTGGAGAATTATAATAGATTCTTAGACTTTTTAGATATTTTTATTTAAATATATTTTAAAATCTAAATAGTAAAGGTCTTAGATTTTTATAAGAACTTATATTATTGCGGCCCTTCCAACAGAGCTCGCAGCCTCCAAGAGCGTCCATTTTACAACAGTTATAGGCAACAATCGCCGGTTTGGTTTTTGCCCTGACCAGTTTATGCTATATATATATATATATATATATATATATATCCTCTTGCTCAAAAAACCTTCCCACTTGCCAATCAGACCAAATCTTTGCTTCTTAGATTTGAATTAAGACATTGTATTTCCCTCCACAACCCTATTTCTTCTTCATTAATATATAAAAATTATTTGGACACTCCACATATATCTGTTCAATTGCCCCCCGCCCCCCACTCACACACACACCGGCACACATTTTGGTCTTTCCCTTCTTTACTTCTATTATTCTTTCTATCTGGGCTGCTTACCCATTTTATGATTAATTCATAATCAGCTACTTCTTTGAAAGATTACTTTCTGAAATGATCTTCCAAGAAGTTCTCTATGATGCAAAATGTATAAAATAAGTATATAGAATAATATGCATAGTATCTGAATTATAATAGTGCTCAGATAGAAGATATTATTGTGACCAATTCTATCTTACATCATTCCCTTTAGTAATTTTTACTCCCTTCATAGTTAAATATTCATTATTCATAAAATAAAAATGACCGTCCTTTTGTGATGTCAACTGGGTCTACGAGAAGGGTTAAAACGGGACTAATTTCTCAATGGGACCCTTTTGTTCAGCCCTGGTGGTGCAAGGGTTCTGTGCTTGGCTGCTAACAAAAGATACTCAGTTCTAATCCATTAGCCAAAATAGGAGAGAAAGATTATATAGTCTTGGGGTTGGTTGTACTCTGTCATATAGGGTTGCTGTGAATCAGAAATGATGGTGGAGTTTTGTTTTTTCCAGGTAGGCCTCTGTGATTACTCATACTTCCTTCATTATCTTGGGGATTCAAACCTTTAAATGGTGATCACCACCCTAGATTGTATGCATGTTCTGCTACCCTCTGGGTAATGACCACTATCCAATTGTTATATTTAAGTCCATCGTTGCAGCCACTGTGTCAGTCCATCTCATTGAGGGCCTACCTCTTTTTCACTGCTATTCTGTTTTACCAAGTAAGATGTCCTTTTGCAAAGATTGGTCTCTCCTAATGATACCGCCTAAGTACATCCAGTGAAACGTAAGTCTCACTGTGTTAGTCTGGGTAAACTAGGGAAACAAATCCACAGAAACTCATATGTATAAGAGAGAGTTTTATATAAAGGGTAAGTGTACATTAAGAAAGCATCCCAACCCAGTGCTGTCCAAGCCCATGAGTCCAACATTAGCCCATATGTCCAAAACTGATCTACAAAGCCCTCCTCCGTCTCACAAAAAACACACAATAATGCCAACTGCAGGAGGAAAGCTGAATCAGTGAGTGTGCAAGCATCTCAGCACTGGCAGGGGTCTCCATGCGGCTGCTCCAGCACCCAGGGCTACATCAGGGTAGGTTCATGTGGCTTCTCCTTAGGGATGTCTCACAGGAAGTGAGCCTTGCCAGCTGCAGCAGGGAACTGGCTGAGGCACCTGCACCCTGATCTGACCATCCGAAAGCAAGAGACCCGAGAACTAGAAAGGTGAGGCTCACTGAGCCATTTATCTCTCCGCCCTTCAGCTAATCCCACATGTGTTTATCATCCACATTATCATTATTGGCACAATAAACCTTAACTGTCTTACCCACCATCCTTGCTTCAAAGGGAAATCCTCTTTACCACTGACTCTGGCATACCCAGTGCTTAGTCCTTGCTTAATAATTGTTGAGTAAAAGAATGACAGGAACCAAACCACCTGTAGTTTCTCTGTTGTGCCCATAATGCTTCGTTGTAATGTTATATGCTTAATTCTTATGGATTCGGCTGATTTAAAGTTTTTATTGTGAATCAGGTGGTGGTTTATAGAGGAGATCATCCGTTTTACGTTCAACAAGTCATTTACATTTTATTTCAACTCATCCATTGCAGACCTATTAGGGTACCATCGCTTATCTTTCTCTTCCTCCTGTGTTTACTGTTTCCATTCCTTCCTTCCAAAGCCTCTGAACTTTGTCCTT